TATAAATTCCGCAACGCTGACAGGTAATAATTAACTGGGATTGGATCTTAGATTTGTGATTAATATTCAACGCTCAAGTAAGGGAAGAAATTATTTTGGAAATTGATTATCTGATGGCAAATTGATGCCCTATCTTGTCATACAAATTTAACATATATGTGCCAATTCCTTCCATGACTTCTCTAATCGTACTCGTGTCCACCTCCCTGTCTTCTACTAGTATTGCATTTTTAATCTGTCTACAACGCCATCTACCATTCGTAACTAACATTTACCCATTACAATAGGTGTTCATTGTTATTTCATAAGAGGACGACGTAAGTACATCATATCACGAGAAAATGTAGGATAGTTAACGGGTGTGGCTGCACCTGATGAACATGAGTGTGTAGTGATCAGAGAATGGATCCGTAGAAAGAAGTTTATTACGAGCTAGAATCGATACCTTCACGCTCCGAATGAAGTTTTCCTAATTGTAGACCCGGGAATCGGAGAGCCGAGTTCCGAATTCCAGTCGAATCCATTACATTCACTTACGTGCTCATAACCTTGAAAAAGGTATGAATCGTCTTCTTCTCCCCCAAGCTATGGGTAAATAACAGGACAGACCGGGTTCAATAGCGGTTCGAATAGATGAATCGGAGAGCCGAGTTCGATATCAAGTCGAATACATTACATTCATTTACGTGCTAATACCCTTGGGAAAGGTATGAATCCTCTTCTCCTCCCCTAAGCTATGGGTAAGTAGCAGGACAGACCGGGTTCAATAGCGGCTCGAATTGATGAATCGGTGAGCCGAGTTCGATATCAAGTTGAATCCATTACATTCACTTACGTGATCATAAAATTGAAGAAGGTATGAATCGTCTCCTCTCCCCCAAGCTATAGGTAAATAGCAGGACAGTCCGGGTTCAATAGCGGCTCGGATTGATGAATTGGAGAGCCGTGTTCGAATTCCAGTCGAATCCATTACATTCACTTTCGTTCTAATACCCTTGTGAAAGGTATGAATCCTCTTCTTCTCCCCCAAGCTATGGTTAAGTAGCAGGACAGACCGGGTTCAATGGCGGCTCGGATTGATGAATCAGTGAGCCGAGTTCGATATCAAGTTGAATCAATTACATTCACTTACGTGCTCATAACCTTGAGAAAGGTATGAATCCACTTCTTCCTCTCCCAGCTATGGGTAAATAGCAAGACAGACTGGGTTCTTTAGTCTTGGATGGCAACTGGTCTAGACGAAGGACAACTCTGAATTCAAAAACTGCGGAATGTCGTTTGGGGTTTTGTGGCACGTAGTGCACCAGGTCTCTATATTCGGCCCTTCAAAATTGTGGATGGTTCTGCACGAAACCATCACCACTATCATCAATTCTCATGTCGGATTCGACGGAAGAGAGTCGACATATATATATATATATATATATATATATATATATATATATATATATATATATAAACAAAAAAAATATAAAATATCCGCATACCTGCGGATAATGAATACGAGTAACTAGGTAACCATTACCGCATTTGGTACCTCGAGAAGACGATTGTAGGATCGGAAAAATATCAAGATTACGTGTTAATACCGTTGGGAAAGGTATGAATCCTCTTCTTCTCCTCCCAGATATGGGTAAATAGTTTCTATAGCCATGGATGGCAATTTCTCTACTGCAGAAAGAAATGGCAGCCTACTGCGGGAAAAAAATCTACCTCACCTGTCATCTATTATTTGATTCATGATCGCCTAAGCGTGTATCACGCATGGCACATAATTGACTGACTTAAAGAAACACATTAATGAATAGTTGTTGGTAGGAGGAGTTGCTACACAAGCAAAACATTAAAATAAGAATGTGAGTTATATTTCAAAATAGCCTGTCAATGGCCTATTAGACTTTATTTTACATACCATGCTTGGCGCCAACCCCGTTCAGAAATATCTTAACTGTCAACTGTGTACAACCTATGATCACTGGTTATCTGCCGCGAGGTCATCACTTGTTTGGAGATGGCGGTTCAAACTGGTAGATGATTCTGGTAGGGCGGTCATTATGTCGTCGAAGGACGTGACCGAGCCAGTGAACACGGTGCTGAGAACGTTCAAGCAAAGCGCCTTATTGGACACAAGAAGCCTCTGGATGGTTCTGGGATGTATGCGGTGTGATCGAACCATTGCGTTGAGGCGGTTGCATCATTGCAACTTACTCTGCTCGCTTAACTCTCCATCAGCCGTCATATATGACTCTTTGAAGGCATTCTTTACGACGGCGATCATACCTAGGGTGACAGTATCAACCTACCAGCCAAACTACGCGTGGGTAACTAGTCGATGGTTCCTCGGCTGGTGAACAGTAACATCAGCACAACTGATTGACTGAGACCTGTTCCAAACCAACTTTTCAGTACTGATGGAAGTTTTTCTTTTTTTATCATTCCACTCCAAGCAAAGCAGTAAATCGACGAGTACAGAAGGGTGGGATTGAGAAGTACAGGGAGTGAAATTGAGAGAAAATACTAAGTATAGGGAGGATTAAAGAAAGGACAAAAGAGGAACGGGATTGAAGAAGACAGACGATGGCCATTGAAGAATCTTTTAATTTTTGAAGATTATAGTTATCAAGCATGCATATAAACGGATAGTATTTCCCCCGGCAGGAATTTCGAGGAGAGAAACTGTTGGAGTAGGAGGGGCGGTTACTTTAACTATTTCAACAGACCTAGATGACTGTAGATAGATAGATAGATAGATAGATAGATAGATAGATAGATATAAAAGGCAGGATGTGTGTGTGGGGGGGAATATATGAACAGAGAGATAGATTGATAGCTAGATATGAAGAAATAGATTGATAAATGCACATTGGTATCGATACATAGGGAAATATTTGAACAGATTGATAAATGGATAGATAGATATGAACAAATAGATAGATATGAACAAAGTATAGATGCATAGAGAAAATATATGAACAAATAGGTAATGGGATAGATAGATAGATAGATAGATAGATAGATAGATAGATAGATAGATATAAAAGGCATGTGTGTGTGTGTGTGTGTGTGTGTGTGTGTGTGTGTGTGTGAATGCACAGCGGCAATTTTCGACGGATTTGCACCAAATTTTACATGCACCTGCTCCAAGTTAGCAGGAAGGCCAAGACCGATTTTGCATTTCCCAACTCCCGTCGGAAGTGGAAATAATCGAGTTTATCATGCTTTTACGGAAGTTTTCATGTAGTTTGCGGCCATTTTCTACAGAGAGCCTATAGCTGGTTGCCACGAATAGGCAGGAAGATTCTGTTGGCCAGCGTGAGAGCCAACAGCTGACTGACACGAATGTTAACTAGCATGCAAAAAGTGTCGATAGCTGCATTCGTCACAAGTGGGAAAAATTTAAATCTGCATAGCACGCTACTCCAATTGGCTCATTCTCTTGTTTAAAATCAACTTTGATTCTGATTCCGCAGAACTGGGTTGGGTGTGAAAAAGTATTTGTTGTTAACATTTTTTTTTTCATTCGGTTTTTCCAGTTACGAGTCCTTTTTTAAAGCTGATCGTTTTCTGTTCACTTTGTTTAGTTCTTTTTTCGTAACAGATTTAATGTTTAGTATAGAGCTTAGAAAAATTCACAGTGTGAGATAGGCAAAAAGTGAGGAATGTAGCAACATCAGCACGGCAAAGGGCACGCCTTTAAAGGCAAAAATATTTTAAGTCAAGTGATAGCGATTGCTGTATGAGTCAAACAATTTTTTGAATCAAGCACGGGCAACGCCGGGCCATGCTGCTAGTATATAGATAGACATGAGCAAATTGAAAGGTGGAAAGATGTGAAAAAATAGAGATTGATAGATATGATCATATATATATATATATGTGTATATATATATATTTGTTCATATTCCCGGAATTATTTTTTCTGATTTCTTTTTGAATTTGTATGTCTGATGAATTGGATCGTATTTACGATTCCAATGTAATAAATTATGACCATGGAGTACTAGTGTTTAAGCCTTTTTACAATATATATATATATATATATATATATATATATATATATATATATATATATATAGTTAAATTATGAAGAACTTGGTAAACCGAATGGGTAATTCCAAAGAGGATGGAACCTGAGAGCTCAATGTGAATACAGAGCTAATATTTAATGAAAAACAGACCACTTTAAGGTACCATTACAATAATTTATTTCACCAAAATCCTTTTTAAAAGGACTCCGGATCATCAGGTAACAATTCCAACAACGAAATGAAAGGAAAAATGGGATTAGAAATTGATATATATATATATATATATATATATATATATATATATATATATATGTAATTAGAAAAAATATTCTCTCCTTAACTATGAAACTAAAAAGAATATTTCCAGAATCCTCATGGTCTTTTATTTTAATTATAATATCTGCAAACTTTCCCACACATTAACTAAAGATGTCCAACATTTAAAACTAGACTATTACTATTAGTAAATTATTTAGTGATAACTCCACACACGCAAGTCGACAGCCCCCCCCAACCTCTTCAAACTTTAAATCATCATCCAAAATCTGCAACACATCACCTTACCGTGTACTATATATTTCGAATATTATACATTTCATAGTAACACACAACTTCCAGTGTCGCCATATTTATCACAACGTTTCGGCCGTTGTACGCTCCCGCCTTCTTCAGGTGGTTTGAATTTCGAACACTTTGGGTCCTGTCACTGGATCTAACCAACGCCTTTATCTCAAGGACACATGGCACAGTGGATAAAGGCGTTGGTTAGATCCAGTGACAAGACCCAAAGAGTGTGAGTTCAATACCTGGTTAAGGCAGTGGAGAACTTTCAGAGGGAAATTAGCAGGAGATAACTGATAACTGACATCCATCAAACATGGCCCGTGGAACTAGAACAACCTACCCCAGTGATCGAAATAAAGGGTTCAGTTCGAAATTCCAACCACCTGAAGAAGGCCGGAGTGTACAACG